AGGAACCACAAAAAAGCAAAAACAAACACAAGGGGAACTAATTCTGGGGAAGTTCCGGCTGGCCTGCTTTGGGGCCCCTCAAACGCAATCACGATGTAACACCCGCCCTGAGCATCATGGGTGGTGAACTGGTTCAAACATGTTCGGATCGCCAGGCTTCATTTAACCACACCCTGGCAAATAAAGGTGAGCTACTTGTAATACTTAACTGAAGAAATGTCAGTGACATTGGCCAAACAAGTTCACCTCTCCATACCTGAGTTGAATAGGTTGAACACCTGAGGTTTCATCTCTCGGGGAAAAAGCCATTGCGTATTCAAGTGATCCTCAATCCCTTCGATTTCATCCGTTGGATTTGTGCCGCCGTCCCGCGGACAGAAAACACGGTAAGTATGAAGAACATTCCCGAGCGATGCCAGTTCCCTAGTGGGCAACAAAGGCAACCCTTGAATTGCCAAACGGAAATTGGCTGGTTACCAACATGGGATCCAGATTTCGTTTCGAAGATCCCACTCCCAAATCCCCCGCTTGGGCATCTGCGAGGGCTTTGCACTTCGCCTGAGGCCCAGTTCGCTGTTCGCAAAGAACTTTCAGAGCGCTGGAGGGCCTCAAAGCTTCGCAGGACTTCCATTCGCTTAAGCCACATGAAAAAAAAAAACATCTTCGGCAGTGATCGATTCAACCTCCAACACCAAGGGCAAAGAAAGAATTCTCATTTCAGCAAATGGAAGAGTTCTCACTTCGCTGGAGTCCAACAGCTCCCGTATCACTGATCCGGAAATTCGTCAAACCGGCTGCTTCGGCGTCCCAAATTCCCAGCCAACAAAAACACAAAAGCGCATTGTTGCATTCAGCTTTCGGCCTTCAAGTATTTCAAGCGCTGAAGACTTGTGACTCTAGAGCTTGTGGTTGGGAAGTCCTTCATGGATCATGGGGTCAAAAACAGCACTGCCAATGATCTAGCGACAAAGCTGTCTTCAATGATTCAACGTTCCATGAAGACAGCTTTGATCAACATGCAAATGATTCAGCGACAAGGCTGTCTTCTTCTTCTTCTTCAAACCGCAGTTTGCAAAATTTAGTCTTGCGGGACTTTGCCATTTTTTCGCAACCCAGTCCAGTCCGGGCCTCCACAATAGACCCCCCCAGATTTTGGCCAGTTTTGCCAATTTTGCTCAGGCCCTGCAATGATTCAACCTACCCGCAGGACCTTTGTCCCAAGACAAGCCCCTCGAAGGGCTCCCAGCGAGACTCCTTCGCTTTGGAAAGCTGCAAGGCCGCCACAAAGAAAGAGTCGCAGGGTTCAAAGAACACATGGCTTTTTTTTGGATACGGTTTATGGCTACTTGGTTGGTCTTTGGACTTTAACTTGCTTGGAAAACAGCGGATTTTCCATGAAAGATATGCAAACAACAGCCATTGCCCTTACTTGCGCAGCAGGGTGGGGGGTTCCCCCAAAAATCGGGGACCCCCCCAAGAAAGGAACCTTGACTTTGACGTCGCAACGCCCGACTGCGGCGTCGCTTTAATTTGCCCAAGTCTCAGAATTCTCCGTTTAGCTAAAACATGTCCGAGCATGTGTGTGTGTGTGTGTTCAATGATTGAGGTCCTCTCAGGTTTAATCTGGTGATGTCTCAAAACACTTAGTGGACCTCGCCGGCAGCATTTCGCCGATGCAAACCTGGACAGCTTTTGGGACAAACCAGCAAATGGCGGAACAAGCTGAAACGTGGAATCCATCTGATTTCTTAACCAGGCTCACCAACAAAGAACAGAAAAGGGACAGACCCAAACTGAAACTGAATTCAGTAATCACCATCAATTCTTCACCAAGCTGACATACAAAGAACGTCAACGGTCCCACATACCAACTCTTCTTCTGAGCAACGGCTGAGCATCAAAACTCACCCAACCCACTTGGTACCGGGCAATGTTGGAGCTGATCGCGTCTCCTTCCTGAAAAGCAGCAACTTGAAGCGCCGAACAGCTTGGGGTATTGTTGGGGGTCCGGAAGTTCAGCCTGCAACAAAGCCTCTAAGCGTTCATGGCATGGGGGCTTCCCCATGTGAAGACACAAACACACCCATATATGAGCCATGGTCGAAACTGCAGTTGTGGGTTATGTGGTTCATCATCCTGGTTCCCGTAGGACGCCGTAGGAAGCCAAATCGTCGACACTCCCAAGGCATTGACTGTTGAGGGTCACTCCACCAAACAATCGGCGCCTGTGTCTGCAAAAGGGGAGAGCAAACGCGGCACTTCTCCCTGTTCCCCTTTGAAACCACACTCCGGGACACCCATGGCACATGGGGCTGCTCCAGAGAGAAACCAAAACCACTATTCTGGGGCGCTCCTATTTCGACATGAGCAGAGACCTTTGGTTCTACCAGGATGAGTTTTACAGTTGTTGGTCCAACCAAGAAGGGGTCGGCGGCGGTTCCTTTGGGTGTCCCTTTAAAACCAACCATAAAGGCGCTTGTCCTCCAATATGGTGGTGTTTCCTTTTGGTTTCTCAGCTCAGTAAACCAACCCTAAAGCGAGGTTTGTCCTCCAAAACTGTGGTGTTTCCTTTCGGTTTCCCTTCAAACCAACCCCCAAAGTCCCAAAAGGAGTGCCTCTTATAATTAAAAAAAAGAAAAGAAAAAACAACGCGAAGTGGCCCCAGGCATTTTCCCGTGTCCGAGCCGCAGCTTTGGCAGGTGTGGAGGCTGAGGCGAGTGATGGCTCGGAGAGCTCACAGTCCTTAGGCCGCAAGATCCTGGCGCTTCGTCGTCGTTTTTCACCGGGGGGCCTTACTCAGTTGCCCAGTTCGGACCTGGAACTAAAATGGTGATCGCCTTTTGGGGCCTTGTACTAAAGATAGACCAAAACTTGGAAAACCTAAAGAGGTCAAAAGGTCGATTCGCTTTGGGCAACTGAGACTTATGTTTCACGGGGGCCTCATGAAGCCCGAAGGGAAGACGCGGTGCAATGGGCCACGCTCGGAGCTTTCGCGACCCTTCAGAGGGGGACTTGCGGATCTTCGGATCTTGGCTTCGCTCAATCAGCTGGGGTTTCCCGAACTTTTTGTCTGTTCCAAGTACCAAGGTGCCACCGTGGTACCACGTTTTTGAGCCACCGCCAGTTGCGCAACTGGGGGGTTGCTTTATGCGGTTGGGTTTTTTTTTACTTGTGTTGTTGGGTCGTTTTCAAGACTCACTCCCCTTGCACAAAGGCGTTCTTCCATGTAGCTTGTTGTTCTGTCCAACCAACAGCTGGAAGCTATGGATTTGGTCCGTACGCCCTGAAATTGGCTCCTTCGGGGTATGGGGCAGCTTTCAGTTCAAAGGGTTCCAGTCCGAGGCTGTGGCGCATATTTTGCCGCCAAGACCAACGACCCGGAAAATGATCTGCCCAAAGGGCGCCACGAGTGATCGAACCCAAAAGCTTTCTGGCCTTCACTTCGACCATGGGAAAGCCCCAAGTCTTGGCCCAAAGAAAACCCAAAAAGGGGTGTGTGTGTGTGTGCGCGCGGGTGTATATACAATTTTATATGCTTGCATGTGAACGTTGCTTAATCTGTGATTTTTGGCTTGTCTTTAAGAGGTACTCTTTTTCAACCAGAAACCTGCTCGTAAAGCCAACATTTGTCTTACAACCAAAAGAGGATGAAACAAGGGGGGAAAGGCTGGACAACACAAGTGCTTCTGAGCCCACAACCAGAAAAGGACGAAACACGCAGATCTGGGTGAATTATAGTAGTTCACCAACCTGAAATAAGGTGGTTGCGGGGCTCCCCACAGACACCGCCATTTGGGGCGAGGTCGTGTGAGCTCGTTATGATTAACCCAGACAGATCGGCCCTAAGGCTGCGGCGAATGATCCAAGTCGCTGCGGGGACCTCACAAGGCTTGAGGCATCCGCATCTCGAATTCGAACTCGGCTCGTGGCGGGTTTCTTTTTGGCTTTAGGGTGTAGGGTTTAGGGTTTCTCTTGAAAACCCCATGACGATTGCTCCTGGTATCTCCTGGTATTTTTTCTCCGGTGCGCAAGCGCATGCAAACGGCCTTCACTTTCCCCGAAGACGGGTTATACACATTTCGCTTTTGCACCCCCCCAAAGGGAAACTCAGGCCTACCACGTGTGATGGGCACTAGTTTAAGACATACCTCTAACCAACGGCTCCGAGTGTGGCTCGTGACTCTAACCCTGCCCGGCAAATGCCCAGTTAGATCCCCTTCAAAACTCCCTTCGCTGGAACGTCGGGAGCCTTTGGGAAGAGGAAAGAAAAGGAATTCAATGCTCCCCCTTTGTCGGTGTTTGAAGGAAAACCCAATGGGTCTCCCTTTGTCAGATCATGTGTGTGGTGTCTCTCAAATTCAAACATGACATCATTGGGAAATCTTTGGCATCCGGGCCTTTCAGTAACATGACGCAAGTTAGATGCCCAGTAACAGATCGTCACTTCAATGGATGTGCCTCAAAATACGAACACCCTCATTTGTTTCTTATTTGTTTCCCCTTCAAGACCACCATCGGCAAACAGAGAAACTCTTTCGGGACCCGTTGGTGGACATCATTTAGGTGGAGAGTCATGACCCCCACCACGCGTGAGGTGGTTCCTATCAAAAGTCATAGCGAAACAAGGATCCAGGAAAATGGGGAAGGTACGTCTAGAACAATGCAGTTAACACCTGGAACCTACTTGCCCGATGAGGGCAAGGAACATCCGAGTAAGATTGAAGGGAAGCAAGGTTCCTGAAAGGATACCTCGCAAAACCTCCAGCTTTGCAAGGATGGGGATGAGCTGGTATATTTTTCTTTTTGCTGGCTCCAGCTGTCATCCTTTAACGTACTTCCTCAGTCTTCCAGGAATGTACAAAGTCCAGGAACTCGGGGAGCAAGTCCAGCTCGGAATTTAGGGACCGCCTTCTGTCAATGAAACTTCCCCCTTTGGGACCCAAACTGCAAGTGTGTCAAACACATCGAACAAGCAACCAACGAGACTTGGGGCAACCGGCTGTCCGGCGAGCGGGACAAGTTCTCCTCATGGGCCTTGAAGTCATCCTCGCGGCTGCGGAAATTCGAACGGAGGCCTCAAACCAACCGCATCTGGAAGCTCAGATCCGGACAGGAGCTCCATCAACGGTTAACATGTGGGGAAATAATTATCTTATGATGATTTTGTCCATGTAACCTCTGGTATTGCAGAAACTGGGCCACACAAGCACACGCTTTTTGCCTAGGGGTTGGGGTCATGGCTTCCTGAATGGTGCAACCTCAAGCCCACCTGGCTGAGTTGAGCGAGAAATTGAGAGCCATTTTGGCCCTTGACTACATTCCTGAAGAGACATGCCCACAGCGGCCCCATTATTTTACCAATAAAGCCACCCCCATGAGTCATGTCCAAGCGAACACACCAGAATAAGAGCTTGAAGTTTGCCAACCCACCCGGTTTCCTGCGAAGCTGATAGGAGACAGGTAAATATGTGGCTGTGGCTCAAAAACCGGAAATCCAAAATGGGCTGCCCTTGTAAGTGGAAACATGGGTACCAACACCTGCGGTTTGCCCCTCCAGAAGTGCCATGGTCAAACTCCTTCAAGTCTTTGGCGCCTTGACACGGAGTCCTTAAGGTGGTTCCCCGTTGGCTGCAAAATCCAACGAGTCGCACGAAATGAAACCATGGAGTCGAAACCCGAACGTTTGCTGGTATTTCTGGGGATCATCGAATCATTCCAGGGTTTCTGAAATGGAGCAGAACTTGACCATCCTTCCTGCCTCGAGATCAATTCGTCCGTCGCAGGTACGGCGACCCAGAGCTCGAAGGGCGAGCCAACCAAGCCAAGTAGTTGCGAGTTCTGTGCCAAACAGTTCCTTAAAGGAGCCTTGGGGAATTCCCGCCTCCTTAAAACCCCCATCCCCTTGGAATGGAATGGACTGACCCCAGCCCTAAACCATTCAACTGGTGGTCTCCAGTTCTTTTGGGGACCCCTGGGCCTTCATTGCATTCCTCATTCGCTACCTACTCGCCGCAAGTTCAGGACTCCCGCCTCCGAAAAACAGAACAAATCGACCTTATTTTGACCATACTCTCCCCTCCCCCCCTCCCTTCCCCCCAACCCTCACGCACAAAACGCTCCCACCCAGTCATAGAAAATTTCACCGAGTTCCCCACGAAGCAAAACCCCCCCCCCCCCCCCGCAGGCGTTTTCGGCTCGGCGCGTCGGCTCCTCGCTCACCTCCCAGGAGTCCAGGAAGAAGAGCTCCTAATCGACTCGGATCGACTCGATCCGATGGCGGATCCGAGCCCACGTTTTGGGACCCCAAGTGGCGAAGGGGACTGCGGGTGACTGCAGGAGTTCGCGAATGTGGTTTTTGTTTTTGGGACCTGTGTACCAAAAACGTATTATTGGTGGTTGTTCCAGGAACGTGTGTTTTCAACTGTTCTATTGCATTCCGGTGTTTCAAAAGAAACAACTCGAGAAACCCAACAGCAAAACAAGAAAACATGACGAAATGAGTCTCAGACAGTCAGTCCATTGGATCAAGCCAAAAAACAACAAAAAACATACACTGCGTGAACACCAAACAAACCAAACCCAAACAAAAACAACAACATAATTAATCCTCAGACAATCCTTCCCGAAGTAGCCTGTCACTGTGCGAAGAGCTCTGGGAGAATGCTTTTGTATTGTTTTCTTGTTGGTTGTTTGTTGTTCTCGAGTTGATTGGGTTCTGGTGCTCGGCCGGGCTGAGGCTGATCCAGTGGATTTGTTTTCTTTGGAAGGGACATTCTACTTAGAATTCCAGTTTCCAGAACTGAGCTCTTCTTGAATACATTGTGTAAAACACATGTTAGTGATGTGCACAGAAATCCTTTTGGAATCCTGTGTAACGCCAAAATTAAAATGGAATACTTATTATAAGTTCCAATTTAAGCTACAAAAACTGATTGCATTTGTCCTCAACAAATTCTAACTAAAATATGGTTGAATCGTGAAAAAAAACATATTTGGCAAGGAATTGACTGCAAATCCCAAAATGCACATAGAACTTCCAATACCGGAACACGTAGGTCCAATTAACATTTTGGACAGCGGCTGTTGGTGGGACCTCATGAGCTTGTACATTTACCGAACAATTCTGCGTATTCCAGCCCCTTAATTTTGAGCCACAGCCAAATGCTACTCAATTTCTAGCTGATTTTTTTAGTAAGGACATAATCCAATCATAAGTTCGATCTTAATTAGATGTGAACAACAATTCTACGTCAAATGGGTTCCTTTCCAACAGATGTTCTTTGCAAATCAGGGAACCTGTAAACACAAATGATTCATTTTTGGGGCCTCTGGACTGTTTCCTTAAGTTCTACTTAATAGGCTTCTCCAAGTCTTCTCAATTTCTAACTGAGTTCAAATTGAACTTCAAAAGGAACGAATCCAATCATAACCATAGCTTATATTTACAGTATAATTTAAATAATAAGAGGATCTCCACTCCATTATACTGCCAATATAATATTCTTTACAACTCAGTTTGTTCAACAGAAGCTCAACATAAGCAAAGCAAGTGCAAACGGCAAATACAGACTTGCATGCACAAGCAGATCAGAATGTAGCAAACCGGGCACTGTCACTCCCCTACCCTCTTTGTTTGAGGGGGGGCTTGCTAATCACTAATGTTGACCCCACATTAATCAACCCTGGTCTATTAATAGCCGGTGTTTCCAGCCGAAAGTGATGCTTCCTACTAAACCGAAATGGAATCACCGGGCGCAACTCGCCCACCTGAAAGAAATGAACCCCCAACGGAGCGCGAAGCCCATGATTGATCTCAGAATAAACAGGGGTTGCGTGCTTGGTCTACATGCAAGATTCAGTTCTTCCAGTGAGTGACGCAACCTGACAGCTGCTGGCGTTAAGCAACCGACTGAAAGTCTTTTGCGGCTTAGAGAATCCAGATTTCTTGACCCGGCGACGTCCTGCAGGGAGATGTTCCGTCGTCCGCCCATGCGTACCCTCGGGTCGAACGGGGCCACGTATGGCAGGAGACTTGGAGGAAATCATAGCATTGGGTTATGAAAACCATGATGGTGGGGTGGGGAGAACCCCTAAGACTTGTTCCCTAGCGATGTCCTTCGGTTGGACCGCCGTAACCCACTTCTGGTCCCCATGAGCCATTGTCAGGGAAAATGGGGAAACATACAAACATCAAATATAAGAGCCTTTAAGCAACTCGAATGGAGTTGTGGGTGGGGAGGGCCTTTGAACCAAACTTAGACATGAATCAGAGTCAACTACTAGTGTAGTAGTTGTTATTGAGGCAGAAATAGTATTTGCCCATCCCCTTGGTTTTCCGGGCAAGGAAAAAAGAAAACCCGGGCAATTGATCGCGAGGTGTTCTACAGAATAAAGTGTTACAAATTGAATCACCACAGGCCATGATAGTCGAAGCAACCTGTGTGAAATCACTTGGCCCCAAATACTATGGACAGAATCCGGGCAGCACCCAAGGGTGCCCTTTCAGGATATGGCCTCTGCGTCCAAAACCCAAATCGTACCCCCAGTGAACATCAACCAATCCCCACTGAATAGACTAACATGGGTGGTGCACCTAGCCCAAAATGGTACCATTGGTTTTGACCCACGGCCATATGAGCCCACATGAAATGGGAGAATTGGGCCCTGGTCTTCGTGAGAAATGTCGATCTCCAAACTTCCGGGGCCTGACAATGTTCGCAGAATAGCTTTTTGCTTGGTGGTTTTAGAGCCGAATCGCTGGTTGAGTGGTGAAACGGGGTGGCTTCTCGTTTACCCTCAACAAACACAAGCTCAAAACCCCAAACCCGCCAATGCAAACCACCAATTAAGCGTTACCTTGAGTCAATGAATACCAAGTGAAACAAATGGGTGCCTTTTTGTGTGGAGTTGGAGCCACTTTTTGGTTGGTAACCTGCGAATTGGTTCAACCAGGGCTAATCTGAGAATAGGTGGGCATGAGTTTCATACAAACCCTCTCTGTCTTCCAGCACTCAACCATTTCAGGTTGTGACTCGGTGGACCAACTTCGGCGGGGTTGGATTTACTTCCCTGCAAAACATCACATGTCTTCAAACAGGGTGCTTCCTCAAAAACCATCGGGTGGGTTGGAAAGGAGCAATGGGAGGAACCGGGAAGGGAAGGGGCCCCAATATGGGGTTGGCGGGTTGGTTTGAACCATCTCTTGCCTTTACACCCGCCCAAGAGGAAACACATGAATAAAGTACAGTAATATCAGTGTCCGACTTAGGCCCTTTATAAGCTGCGAGCAAGCAACATGCTTTCCATGGAAATCATGAGCGGGCCATTCCTCCCCGATACAAATAATATTGCCAGTACTCTGGCTGTAGTTCCATTTGATTTCTCTGCAACACCCAGGATGGCATCGTTCAAGACACATCCGTGCTACACCCCATGAAAGACCCTGACGCACCTGAACACTTATATTCCGCACCTGGATGATAAGCAAAGGGTCTAGGAAACCCAAACATGTCCATCTCCTTTTGGTGCCTGTTTAGGAGAATAAACAACTCCTGCGTTATATCAGAAAAGGTGCAAACACAAATTTCGGGATACACCCAAAACCAGTTTGGTAAGTGTAGAAACCCTTTGAAACACATGTATCCTTTGAAGAAGGATTCTTACAACCTCTCAAAAGGGTAGGGGGCGCCCAAGGACGACCTCGGGTTTACCCACACAGAATAACATATTTTCCAAAGTAGAAAGCAACTTAGTTGAATAATATTCATAATAAACCTCGCCATGCCCGGGTCAGTTCCAATCATGCCCCAAGCCCAGAATACAGCTATAATATAAAGTAAGGAATGAGACCTCAAACAATAAACAGGAAAAACTAACACGTCAAACTGCGAGGCATTTTTGAATTCGCGGAAGCGATTCTGGGGTTTAACAGCACAGTGATTCCATTTACCTGTAGAGTATGGGGCTCATTCTTTTGACTGCTGGGGGTTGTCAAGGTCAGAAAATGGTTGGTTGTTTCCTTTGACCTTCTTGGGGGGTGACTTTGATCATACCCTTTAAAAACCAAAAGGAGTGGCTGGTTCCCTATTGTATTGGTCACTGGGATCGAATAAATAGAAAGAAGCCATTGCCTGCAGAGGAGTCCACTTCTGAACAACCCAGGCTTGAACTGACAAAACCCATGGTATTTTAGCTTGAATTGCTATTGTCTTCGTATGGCCGTGCTTTCCGATCAGGTAGTACCCGCTCGTCGAAGATGGAACCCAGCAAGGGGTTCCTGAGCATTGTCCTTCATTTCACCCCAGTCATCCAGTCACGCACTTCCAGAGCTCAACTCGGGAAGTCATCTCGGTTCCCACCTCCTCATGGGGCCATGGGGCAAGCGTTTACGTCAGGCGCTCAGGCGCCCGACCCGTCAGTGTCCAAGCAGTTGAAGAGCAAATGAACATCGCCGTTCCACTTCAGCCTCGCGCGGGAAACCTTGAAACTCGGTCCCGGGGCCGCATGGAGAGCCGTTTCAGGGGGGCTCAGATCCAAGGATTTTCAAGGGGCGGTAAGGGAAGGGGCCTGAATGTCTAAAAATGAGTCTTAGAAGCTTGCTTTGTCTTTTTGGGGGGTCCAAATGCCTCAAAGCTGGGGTTTTGAAGGTTATCTGCATCTTTTTTGGGTTGGGGGTTTGGTCATTGTCTCTCTGTTGATGGCGCACCGCTTCCACTCGCGACGGAGTTGCGCGTGCTCTCGTGGGCTTCGCGTCCACCGTTCCAACCGCAAACCCTCACCCCAAGGGCTTTCACAAATTGCTGTGGCTCAAAAAGTTGGAATCCCCAAAATGCTGTGGGTGGACTAAATCCTGCACCACTTGGAGCCCGTGGAAAACAATTGTTTGTTGGTATTTACAAGGGCATCACCATTCCAGGAATTCTTAGGTAATGGAAACAAAGACTACCTGTGGTCCCTAGCTCTTTCATCTTGAGCCATACCCATTGGGTGAATCATCTCATCTCTTTCTGGCCCACAAATAGATAAAGTCTTTGAACCCCGACCTGCTCAAACTCTTCCAGTGGCCCTGACTTCTCTGGAGCCAATGCGGGAGGATCACAAGAACAAGGCGAGACCAAATGAGGTAACGTTGACCTCGGATTAATCAACCCCAGTTTATGAATAGAGGGTGCTTGTTGCAGTGCGTGGGGAATCAGACCACTTTAGGGGAGCACACCCGAGAAAAAAATAGGCTGGGGTTAATTCATCCGGGCTCAACACGAGAAGCCACACCAAAAAACCGCTAAATGGGTATGGGTCAAGTATGGGTGAAAGGTTTCAATCCATGTGTCCAGTTTACCAGGGAAGCCTTCAACCAGAGGGAGGGTTTCTGGAACCCCACTGCAGTCGTCCCGTGTGCCTCCGACAGGCACGTCTCAGCTCTGGGTACGAGAGGCTGCCAGACTCATCCCGGTCAAGCTGCCTGACGGTTACCCCAAGACTGGGTTGACGTTGGAAGGGGAGCAAACATTTTAAACAAACAATAGCAGTTAAGTGGGGATTTCAACCACTAAACTACAGTAAGCAAAAATGCAAAAACTGTTTCCCAACAACAACCATGAAGAAAAGAACACCTTCCCAGCCCAAGCAGGGGCTAAGTCAAAAAGTCCCAACATTTGAGTCACTTGCTCAAAACTCGCGGTAAACAAATGGTCGTAATCTAATCCCAGAACCATGCTTCAAACATCAAGAAGGCGGATATCCGCAACTATGGCTGGGACTGCCCCGTACTAACCTTCATCAGGGGATCCTTACATTATACACCTGAACATTGCCTTGTAAATGGTGGTTTCCCTTTTTCGTGGAAAAGACCGACATTTCAAATGGGCAAAATGGAGATCTTTTAAGGAGCCCTGTTCATCTACCCAGGTTTTGAGCACGTGGCTCAATTGGGCTCCGAAACCTTCCAGAGCTCCTGACCTATGGGTCCAATTTTGGGGGTCGCTAGGATTGACCCGTCTAGAGTCTCAACCACTTGCGTTCGAAACGAATTCAAGAACCAAAAACACACACACACAGAGATCGCGTACCTGTGAAGCAAAGCAAAGTCGCATCTAGTAAAGAGGCCCAGTCGGAAATTGGCCTGATCCGCGGAAAGAATGATTCCGCCTTCCCGGTCATTGGGGCTGCTCAGAGATCTACATTCGAGGGCTCACCACGCTTAAGAAAACACAAAACCAAACGGTTTTGGTTGTCCTTTTGGTTTCCCTTTCAAACAGGAGTATCAAACCACCAAAAAAGATCGGCTCCAAAGCGGGCCAAGAACCCAGACAAATCGCAAAGCTTTGAACAGAAGCATTTGGAGACACCCATTTTGAGCAACAGCTGGACAGTAACACAACCAGTCCAAAACTTTGGGAAACAATCAGACCCAGGCTTGAGACATGTCTCGAGATCTGACAGCTGCGAAAATCCTCGAATCCGCAAATATAACGTACTTGGACCCTTAGGGTGAAGCAAGGAATCCCCAAGTCAAAACATTTTGACGGGACCGATAGTTATATTTGAGGAAACTTTCGCCATGCAATGGCAGCCAAATATACGAAATAGCATAGAACGACGAGCGGTCTGTCCTGAACATCAGCTGCACCGATCCGAAGTGCTTCATACACCATGCCTCAATGGAAATGAGCCGTGGATTCGAACAGCTCGAACTCAAGTCTGCCCTAAGGGTTGTGTTGGGTGTGTCTTTCTTTGAGGAGGTTGGTCTCTCTTAGGAAACGCCACAAAGAAAACCCCACATTTTCTGGTCTCCGCCAACCAAAAGACAGACCCTTTTTTGTTTTGGGACCTCTGAAAGGCTTGGTGTCGAGTGATGTGTCCCCTGTTGAAACTATGCCAAGGGCGCCGTGAAGTTAATGTTCTCGTGTGACTAAAGGGGACATACCTGGCAACGCTGGATCTGGGGCGTTGGTACATCAAAAACTCACACCTCTGGAACTCTGAAACAACCGTGATGCGTAATACATCAACTCCAGCACTGAAAAGCGCTCGCCAGGTTGCAAAATCTTCATTGTCGGCCGATAATTTGTGAACAAGGCCCACCATGTCATGGAGGCAACCAGGCCACGCCTTTTGGAGGCTTGAATTCCATTTGCTGCCCAGCAAATTACAAATTTATCAGTTATGAGCATGTCCCTTCAAACTCAGAAAGAAGAAAAGCAACCGGCTCCTGATTGTCAAGAGACACCCAGCCTGAAACAGCGATTTCAATCCTGCCACTGGAGAATCTAAACTTGTTTTTTGTGAGTTCTGGTTAGTGCGGGGTATGCGCAGGTGCGACACCAAATGAACACGTCACATGCTTGAAGCTTCTCAAACGGATGATCATTGGCTAGCTCCCCGTACTAACATGTACTAACCCTATACTAACCGAAATTGGAATGTACAAAGTTACAATTTGGGCCCGATTCAATTGCTTCTGGCTGAGACCATCTGACCCCTAGTTCCAGCTTACAAACGTCTCCCCGTCTCAAAAAAAAAATGCCAAAAGAAAACGAGACCTCTGTATGTTTAAGACGCGCACAGGAGCGTATTTGCAAAATATGGACGACCATCAATCATGACGAACATATGGAGCAGTGACCAAAACACCTGGAGACACAACAAAGACACACACAACAAGAAGCTCCACGTCATCTTTCACCAAAGTGTTTTCAGATGCCGCGCGTGGACAACCTTAAGAATCTAATTCAGGCAACCCGTTCACTTTGTGGTTTGGATTTGGGTTTGAACCCCTGGTTCTTGTAGAGGGTAAATGAGAAACCACCTCGTTTCACCACCACCGGACTCCAGACCACCAAATAGGGGAACCTGAGTTTTGTGCTTGATGGTGTTCCTCTGAGTTTGGGGCTTGCTGTTTCGGATCACCGGATGGCCACTGGAGATCGTTCTGTGCTACCGTTGGGGGAAAAAACAAACTGACACATTGAGGCTCCTGCTTTGAAGGACACGAGGATCCGCGCGGAGTCCGCGTCGAATTCCTGGCCAGGCTGCTCGCAAAGGCTCGCAGGGTCCCAATTCGAGGCGGGTTGGTGTCCACCAGAAGACATAGGGTGCTTGTTCAATTGAAATCAAGCACCCAAGCCGGGTCTTAACATGAAGTCGTTGAATGGGAAACCAGAAGTTAACCATATTTTGGCTTCTACGTATTTCAAGGAGCAGCCAAATGAGGTCTGTTGGAACCCCCCGGTCCCCTGACGGGGCTATTGGTGCTCAACCAAATCCGAAACACTTTCAATTTGTGGGGCATGTTGGGTCAGATCCACCCCTGAAACGCCAGACCAGGGTTGTCTGGTTGCCCCCATTTGCGGGACAAGTTTGCCATACTCCGAAGATACACTCGTACGAGGGCCAAGCATATTTGTCCAACAAGCCAACAAGGTAGTCTCAAAAGGACGCATCACCCAAATAACATCAAGAAGAGAAGGGGAAGAACAAACATGCGCGACTGAAAGATGCAACTGGTTTGCTGGACAGGGTTAAACACGGAAACGTGGTAAGCGTTTATATAACTTGTTGGAGACCTTCAGGCGTCGTTTCACATGAACCGGTCCTACAGGATGGAAATGTGTTGTTTGGTGAGTCGGACTTGGGGGCTAGTGTCCCATAATCAGTTAAGCCACAATTTGCGATAAATTGCCATACCAGGGGTTCATACATGGGTTCATACATTCTGCTTTTGACAGAAGATTAGAAAGCTGATAGCCCTCAACATGCCTCGCAAATCATTCAATTGGACATGTGTAAATGCCGCTAGGCTTCCAAAATGCCCTCGACTTAATGATACATGGTCCAAGGCAGAAACGAAGATGCTTGGGTTGTTTGGTACAAACCTGCCCGGGGAATAGGGATAGGGGTGACAGGTCTTTTGCAGACTATTTGGGTGCTCGGCCAAGTTAGTAAGTGCTTAGCCACCTGGCTTATAAGCCACTAATGACTCCCACTTCAAGTGGGTTATAACCAACACCTTACTTGGTGAATCGCCTCAATTATCCCTAGAGTTCAACCCTCATTAAACAAATGGCAGGAACCCAATTTGGATGATGAAACTGGTGGTTCTATACTAGATCCTCCAGCAGAGAGGTTCGAATCAGGGCACCCTTTTGGCTGTAGTCTATTTCAGTAGGGGAACCGAACCTCCCCCACAAAGAAACGGTACAAGGGCACCTGGAAAAACCAAGTATACTAACCCACCAAGTTTCCCTTTCTGGATGCCGCCCAAAGGAAGGCCCCCCCCCCGCCAGCAGCGAGATGTGCCCGGAGAGATCCGTGTCCAAGGCTCGCCAGGCACCTCCGATATTGCCTCGCCAAAAGTCGGACGCCAATTCACACGGAACCTGACCACCCGAGCCTTAGAACATGGAAGAACCAGGACCTTTGTGTCAGGCTCAACGTTAATTGGTGGGAGGGCATAGGAAATATATATATATATATGTATATACAAAAATACTATGTATGTATGTATATAATAGAAATATGTATTCTCAAATAAGGATTTGGATCTCCACGTGCACAATGGGTGGTGTCTATTACTAAAATAATCATCCATTGATGCATGTATGCATGTATGCACACCTTAGGGTTCAACCCCCATTACAAGACAGGCAAGGACTCAATTTGGATGATAAAACACCTGAACGGCAAATCATGGAAGCCCTGGGTTTTCATGGCGGTTTGAACCCCAGGGTACACATAACTCCTCTTTGGAGCCGCTTTTGGGTGACGCTGTGTCCCGAGCCCCGGCCAAGTGGCCAACACAAGTATAGGGGACACCCAAAGACTGACCCGATGTTCAGCTCCAGCAGAAAACGACACACCTTTTCCAGGACAACCAAAATGTCTCTCGGTTGCTTTCTGCTCCCCTGCTAAAAGTTTAACTTTTAGTGGTTTAGTGGAAAACCCACTAGTTGGCCAAAAGTTAAAGTCCTAACAGCCCAGCAAAATGCACCAAAGGTCTGTCTCAAATAGTATAAGTGACCGTTAGGTCCATGTTTGAGGCCATTTCACAGCCATGGCGGGGGTGGCTGGGTGCATGTTTGGGGCCCATGTCCGCGCGTACGGCCAACTTTGTCGCGCAGCATCGAGGTCGCGTCGTCGCGTCGGCCCGCCTTTGAACTTCAGCTTCTCGCAGGCGTCTTTGAACCTCGCGGCTCGACGTTCCGAATCCGAAGCGCGTGGATGGTTTCGAGGATTCGACCGGGAGCATTTTTCTGGCCAGGAGAACGCCGGCCGAAAGTTGGAACCTCAAAATGAGCGGTTACCTCTGAGGTCCCGAGCTTGCAGATGATCTCTTTTCTTTCGCATCCGACTTCTAATGCTTCCTGCTTGCTTCCAAAAGAGGCAGAGCCATTCCCTCGGCACTTGTGTGCATTTCGCCTTTCGGGCGGTGTTCCCAATGCCTCCAACACCGAAATCCATGGGCTGCAAGTCAGCCATCTCAAATCTGAGGACTCGGCTCCAGCCAGGAGACGCTGTTGGAATCGTCCCTGGCGGTTTTCTTTCCGACGCCAAACGGCAAGAACGACCCGCTCCGACCCAGAAAACCAATTCGTGATCTCTCTCACCTTTTGGGCCCCCATGGCCGACAGGCCAAACCTGGGAACCCCAAAAGAGGGAAACCTTTCAGGCCCAGATCTGGATGAATTGCTTTGGGCCAGTGAGCTTAGAAAAAAGGGGGGCGCCGGGGGACTCGATTTCTGGCGGGTGTCCGGCTGGCTCTCTTGATTCCAACCTGCGAAGGGCGCCCTCAAAACAGGCTTTGCCCCCATAGCCCATAGCAGACCAACAGGTTTTTAAGACATCTTAAGAGCAGATCAAATGAATCGGCTTTCTGCAGCAAGATCTTGGAGGGCACAAGGTCAAACAGGACCTGTTTTGACTTCAGCCGAGACCCGAGTTGTTGGCGGGGATCAGCTCTAGGAAACCCATAAGCGAATCACACATGCAACTACTCCTATTTGCTGAAGTCCTTGATCCCCCATGACACATCCACGAATTTCCCGTGAAAGCCCATGAAACACAACAAACATCTACACATCAAGCAAGACTTCCGACACCTGAAAAAAGGAATCCAGAAGGAGAATCTGCAAGTTTCAAAGGGCAAATCGTAAGTACAGACTCTGTCCATGCGCCTGCAGCTTTATGAGAGAAGAACCCCCCTGCCCGCCCCCCCGCCCCCCCCCAAAACCGGATTTATACTGTTTTGTATGATCTGCTTTTTGGTACCCTTTTATGGGCCCCGTGTGAATTTGCATTCATTCCCTTACCTTTCCTTGGGACGCGGCCATTTTCCCTAACTCAAAGGTGACTCTGCCTGTTGCACCTCAGCCTCCACGTTGTCACGTTGTTTCCTTGGGGCTTCCTGAAGGCAACGTCGCCATGAACGTTGGGACGGTAGAGCTGACGGCTTTCCTGTAAACGAGCGATTCGTGCAATGCTCGGTGCAAATGCCTGTCCACGGGCCATGAGCCCAAGACCTTCAACCAGAGCTTGGCCGTAGTGACGTCTATCACCTGGTCTTCGGAAGCTACGGCTCATGAATGCCGACCCCCTTCGAAAGCTCCAAGAACGGCTGTGGCCAAGGTCAGGCGCCTGGACCTGAAGCACGCCGAAGCTTGAGGCAGGGAGCTCAAATCCGCGGTGCTACGCGTGGAGTTCTGGGCAGGCCCGCCCTTCGGCCTTCGGCGTGCGAGAGATCCCAACTCCGAAACACGAAGTCGGCCCCTCCGATGTGGGCTGCGAACCGCTTTTGCTGCTTGAGCTCTTGCTTGCTGTTGACCCCTCTGCAAAAAAAATCACCTTTGTCCGATGGAAAATCAACTGTTTGATCAAAGCATGGTCATTTAGGAACTCTAAAAAGGTCCGAGTCTAATGCCTGGGAACCAAGGAACAAATGATGCGGGACTGAGGCAGTGTGCTTGCCACGCCTACCAGAACAATATGCGCATGCGCTCCGTTTCCTTTGGGGCAACGCACAAGGTGCTACTTTGCACCCATCATTGTTCCAACAAAGGCCGGCCTATCGCAACCTTACTCGGTTGCTTTCTGCTCCCCTGCTAAAAGTTTAACTTTTAGTGGTTTAGTGGAAAACCCACTAGTTGGCAAAGAGTTAAAGTCCTAACAGCCAAGCAAAACGCACCAAAGCTTATTTGATCCCGGCTTGGTCGAGCCTGTCGAAAAGGGAGCGCCACGCAGAAAGCGGGTGCGCATACCTGCGATGCAGATGAGGTCGGTAGTTTGCATCAGACGGTTCACAGGCTGTTGAGACACTTTTTTCTGCCTGCCACCAAGAATCAAAGGGCACGAAACGACATGGGACATCATGGCTCCTCTTCAAGGACCTATTATGGTGTCTTTGTCAAGTAGTGCCCTTGTCTTATCCAGCCGAGAGGAACATGGAGCCAGTGGAATTTCAGGGGTCGTCCTCTTCCACGAGTCCTATTTGGATGTCCTGCGTTGACCGGAACACACTCGCGCCGCAAGACAGCTTCGATCGGTTGCTACAACATCGGACGGGCAGACATGTACTGTGTATATAATATACTACACACGCTATACTCACTTGCCCAAAAAACCTGCAAATAAAAGGTTAACCTGTTGGGACCTCTACTAAAAATAGACCAAAAAGGGAAAACCAAAAGGTCAAAAGGTCGGCTTTGAACAACTGAGTATATATATATATATATATATATGTATGAACTACTGTATGTTTATACACAAATTCGTGCCAAGGAAACTGAGAGCCAAACTGAGAAACCCCAACTTGCTCCCATCGAGCACATCCCAGCTAGCCCTTACGTTGACACTTCTGAGACAACCTTCCCACTGGACTTATTCCTGTTGGTAGTTTGACTTACCCCTTAAAACTCCAAGCCCTGGGGAAGTTAATCTTTTACAGACATATAGCCCATGTTACCAAAAAGTTGAAAAGTTGTGCTTTTTAAGAGGTAAGTTGAGCTGACCGTGCGAAGCTGACAGCCCCCACAAGCTCACCTTCGTCATCCACCATCTCCACTTGCTGTGGAAGGAGCTCAACCTCGCGGTCGGCGTAGTCTTTGACCTCGCACACCATGCCGCCCTGGTTGAGGGTCGTCCTGACTTTCGCTCCGATGCGGAACGCAGGGCAGTGCCTCAGCAATGCCTGAGCCATCTCCCCCGTGCCTTGCATGTAGTGCGCGTCTCTCCAGTCACGAGCACGAGCTGCGCGGCTTGCTGCGCCGCCGCATAGCCCTTCGTAAGACTTCGAAAACTTCGGCATGGCTCACTGAAGCCCTCTGGCAGGTCGCTGGAATTCAAACCGTCCCAAAAACGGTTGCCATATATTGAGACATACCCATTTGAGACGAACTGTAGGCTCTGAGCTTTGGTCGAACGGTTCTAGCAGAATTCAGGCGGCCATCTTCCTTCCATCAGGGCATGGGGCTGAAAGGTGAGTCGCGCATGGCCCGTTGCGCCATGAGTGAAATGGAAAGCACTACCGGGTAAGCTTAGACAAGGGGTACCCCGAGCACACAGTATGCATCATAGGTGTTGTTCAGTTGGAAGCAACCCCCCTTGCTAAGGCCGCTGAACAAAAAATGCCCAGACTGGTCAGGGTGCTGGCATGAGTTTGCGGCGAAAGGTCCGACAGAGTTGCTCCGCCTGGGTCTGGGAACGGCTTGAACCATTTGTTTATATACCCACTTGGGCTCTGAGAAAACAAGTCATGCCCCCCAAGAAGCAAAACGCCCCAGGAAAACGCGAAACTAATTTGTTCCACGCAATCACGCTATAAGACACAAGCAAGCAAAGCAACATAAAGCAAAGCAACGCACGGCAAAACAAGCAAACAACAAAACAGCTTGGACACATACAACGCAAGAACAAACAACTAATAAACATTGTTGTAGGCACATCCTGTCCCTCCATTCGCTTTAGCCCCCTGAAGAAAAGAAAACCCAAATATGCCCCATAGTGATAGTTGTTTTCTCTCTTTTTTAACCAGGGAACAATAAAAAGTAATCTGAAGCGCAAATGGAAGTTTCCAGGACCCTGTGTTGGTTTGTTTACGTCTTGAAAGTTGTCTCAGCCCGAGCCTCTTCCTGATCAGCTCGTTCAGCTGCTGCAAAGCCTGCCAAACACCGGCCAGCGTGTGCTTCTCGAGCCTTGGGGTTGTCTCAAATATGGGCTGTCGGTCCCACCAAGCACTGGCTTTCAGTCCTTTTGAACAACACATGATTAAACACTCTTCTAGTTTCTTTGTAGAGGGGCCGAGAATATGGCTGTTGAAACATTGCCCAAGTCTGCTGGAAGCCAACATAGGCAGAATGGTCTAAAAAATCAGACCGCGGTGCTTTGAAGGGAACCCTTGTTGGGTTTGTCTCAAAATGGTCGACCCCCTCCCAAGCGACCTATCCATCTGATTGCAGTGCAAACAACTCAACCACACACCATCTCTACTCTTGGTATGGTAGCAAACAACTCTGTTTTTTGCAGACCCCCAGTAAAATGAACAGAACCAAAAAACTAAAAAAACAAAAACATGCCAAGAACAGCGAAGACACTCTTGGCTGATTTCAGAGGAAAGCCAAGGTTAGCTTCCAACCCCTTGAACTTCCAACCCAATGGACCTAAATCTGGCGGGTTGACCCGAAAGTCAAACTTGGAGTCCGGTTACTCACCCTCGGCCCACAGCGCTGCAAACGCAAAAAAAGGCGCGCGGAGGAGAAAAAACAAATCGGGTGGGGTGGGAAGGCCAGTTCCGAGTTCCAGTGTGGAATGCAGTTTCGATCACACCAGAGCAACCAAAACCCAGGAACAATGCCGTCTGTTCAAGCAAAACTCTGCTTGATCACTAGAATCTGGGGAAGTTTGCCTGTTTCAGGAAACGCAAACGCGGCAACTGTAAGGAGTGTCTGTGTGTGTGTGGATGTGTGGTTGGGATTGTGTTGAGAGAGCCCTTTCCACTTAGTTTCAAGGGAAACCTGAAGGAAAGCCACCATCTTTTGGACCTGTTTGACGCATGTCCATAAAGAGCACACGGTCTAAGACCGGCACCTCCAAATCGCTCACAAGCCACCGGACGTATGTGAGCGCGACGTGGCTTATGTGAGCGCGACTGAGCCGGATTCCTCAAGAAGGCTTGGAGCAACATGAAAGCCTTGCAAAGAATGGGTTGGCTGATTACACACACTTCTAGTTCACACGTTGCACAACCAAGTCTGCAAGCCAAGCAGGCGATTGGAGCAACATGAAAGCCTTGCAAAGAATGGGAACCTTGGACCCCTGGTATCGTAACGTGGCGAGTGCCCTGACATCTTGGTGGCTTTAAGCAAAGAGCCGCCATCCAGCGATCCAACCTGAATTTGCCCAAATCTGAAGTGATACACGTTGCTGTTGGATTCCATTGAACTGCTGAGTGGGTTTACTTTTGCTAGTTCACACATGTACTTTGAATGGGTTTAGGTCGTGAACTCGAGAGAATACCTCTCTGACCCACAGGGGGCTCCCACAACCTCGCCTTTTCTGCACCAAAAAATCATAGATTCGATTCTGCTTCAAGGAACCTGGGTCGGTCCCCTCCAGGGAGCCCCCTTCAAACGACGGGTACTTACTCATTGGTTACTTTTTGGCTGTCCGTTTTTAGATCCGTTAAACGTGAATCACTGGTAGTGGGTCAAATGGAAAGCCAACCACTAAACACTAAACAGCTAAAAGGCGAAGGAACCGGATGGCTGGGAGCCACCAAGGTTAGTAAGCCTGGTCCTAGCCCACTGAACGGAGACTTGCCACCATGGCTAAGGGCTATTCCACCAGGCTCACTAACCCACTTACTAAGCACCCGATCGCCCCTGGAAGTATACCTCTCTCTCAAAGAAGTTCAGCCTACACCCCCGAAAAAAACGCCACCCTGAAGGCCTCCTTGTGTCGCGCTTCACCGCTGCGACGTACGTAAGCGGCTCGCGGCGTTGCGCCTGCGGGTCGGGGTCCGCGTAGATGAACTCGGGGGGCTCCCAGGCGTCCAGCCACTCCAAGTCGCTACGGGACCTGAAGACGAATTGAAGCCGAATCGAATCGAAGCGCATCGACCGCCCGAAACCCCAGAAGCCCGGGGGCGGCCGTTTTGTTTGGCCACCGAAAAAACCCGGCAAAAAAGGGGCCAAGCTTTAAAGGGAGGTGCGGTGGTCAAGAAAAGAGGGGCAGGAAGAAGGAAACAGAACCTTGCCCAATGGTGTGTCTGCAGCCATTCAAGAAGGGGGTAGCTTTTCTTTTCAGTTGGCTTCAAAAGGAAAGTTCAAACCCCAATCCAAATCACCAAGTTCAGAGAACAAACATGGGAGGATGGGAGTCCTCGGAAGCTAACCACACGTGGTTTCTGGACAGCCGGTTGCGAAAAAGGAAAAAGGTTTAAGGACATGTGTCATGTGTTTCCTTTTGATTGGATTTTCGGACTTGGCTATGGATAGTGCCCTGGTAAAAGGAAACATGGACTAAAACTGCAGGTCCTGTGGTGGTGAAATCTCGACCCATACCCATTTGTTGTTTTTGGTGGCTTATAATGTTGACCCCGGATTAGTCAATCCCTGGTTGTTGTTATGGGGGTGTTCCCTCTAAAATTGATAAATCCCCACTAAACCAGGGACACCCCCATGCAAATGAGCAGAGGTTTATTAATCCGGGGTCAACGTTACCTGTTTTGCATCGTTGGTCTTCAAAACTTCTGGCTCGCGCGATTCGAATGGCTTTAGCTCCCGGCACAAAGCCGCACCCGAAGTAGTCCAGGGATGCGACAAGCAACGACCTGTCCGTTCGCCCAACACAAACAGTCACAGAGACGTACCGGACCCCTACCCTCCAATTCCGTGCTCAGGGCTGGGTGTGAACAGTCACCAGGGACTTTGCAGACCATGTTAGCAGTGGTTGATCCACTTTTCATCCAATCTAATTTTTGGAGAGGGTCCAATACATCGCACTTTGGCTTCGGCTTTGATGGGTTTGAGGAATGGATGGAAGGGGACCATTGCCTAGCAACTTGGACCAAGACGAAAAGACTGCAGAGGGAAGAACACTTCCACAGATGGCTCAAAAAACCGGCACCAAAATGGAACCCTGGTAAGTGGAAACATAGACCAAAACCCGCGTAACCCCTCCTGTTTAATTGTGAGCCACGGCCAGATTAGCATTGGAGCTCCAAAAAGGGGTTCCATGTTTTGAGGAATCGCCTTCTGGGAGACCCCTCGTTGGGCCCAAACGAACATTTACACGGGAGAAACCTAGGCTGGAAAAATCGGACCCCAGCCAAACAGATATCTTGGTTGCCTGGTTAGTGGAAAACAAAGAAAAATCGGAGCTAATTCTGGGGAAGAAACTAGATATAGCAATCGCTGTGTTTGGGGGCAGCAGGTTTATCATTAAACGTGATGATGCATATTCAATAAAGGGAAGGCCAGCGGGCAAATAATTTGTACGGGGTCCCCTTTGCTTTAGGGAAGGCGAACCCTGGCGTATATGTCTGGGTCCATTGAAGTAGGTGGTTTGAAGAGCTTTCGCCTGCAAAATCAGTTCACAATGTGACCACTTTAACGGACCTAGTTGAATAAGGATCCTACGGTAAGGTCATGAGCACAGAATACAGCATACCTGGATCCTCCAAGGTGTGTTTTTTTTGTGTTCTTTCAAGAAAAAGTGCTTTTTGGCTGAAAAAGCGCTTTTGCTTGATGCGGGCTTTTCCCAGTGATGCATGCTTTTCTTGCTTGGGCTTGTGCTGAAAAAGCGCTTTTCCTCGGTCAAAAAGCGCTTTTACCCGCCAAAACGCGCTTTTTCTGACACGCTTCGCGGCAATCTTGAAAAAGAGCAGTTGTTGGGTCAAAAAGCGCTTTTTGAACGAAACAGCAGAAATTATTGCTTTTTCGCCAAACGGCGGAAATTTTGTACACCCGGAGTGCCCAGGTATGGACGTGCCTCTTTTGCCTGGGTCAACCTCACTGTTGGTTGTTGAAGGCTTATCAATCCATTCAGAATTCAATTTGTCTGTAGTTGATGTTCACAAATGTGTCTCTTGACCATATCCATTTTACATAGGCTGTGTATAACAATAAACCCCACCAGACCAAACCTGGGTGGATGAGCCCGTTTACCACTAAAAACGGGGTCTTCCGTCAACGACAGGGTGTTTACCCCTCTTTTTGGTTTCTTCAAGTGACTCATAATTAGTCCAGGACCTAGGTGAGCCGTGAGCCGCATTCCATGAGCTTACTCTCAGGGGCCCGATCTCTCGCTCCGTCCCAACCGCGAGCGCGCCTGGTGTGGGGGTTGTTGGGCCAGCCCAGGTCCCGCAGCGCCTCTCGGGTTCGGTTTGGGATCAAATCTCCCAAGCTTTCAGGTGACGTTTGGCTGGTCAAAAATAGGGTAACCCCAGAATGGCACCCTGGCAAATGGAAATGGCTAAAACCTGTGGTCCATTTCCTGGTGGATTCATTTTGACCCCATACCCATCTCGTGGTTTAGATCATTGGTTTGAGCTTTGGGTTCCTGAGGGCTCACAGGAAGCCACGCCACCACCGCGGATCTCAGCGCGGTCAGCGGTTGCATTGTCTTGGGGAGGATATCCAAAGCTCCAGTCGGTGACAGGGATCAAGTCTGACCTAAAGAACTAAAAGGGCATTGAGGGGCATTGAGGGGCAATGTCAACATTTAGGGTACATCAGCTGGGCAAAATGGAGGCTCCTAGAGCAAGAAAAAGGCCGCAATCTTAACAAGAGTACCACCATAAGAATTTGTTTGCCTCAAAACTGGGCTGTCCGGTTTCAGGACACTTCTAAAAAACCAGGTTGTGGGTTAAATGGACACCCAACCACGAAACCAACTAAGCATCTAACAACCCAAGGAACTGGACGATTCGCTCGGAACCACCTCAAAAAAGGGGGGGGGGGCGCTTTTTTGGCGGGGACTTTCAACCTTTCCAATGGTGGTCAAGCATCGGGATCGGGACTTCTGGCAGACTTCACTAATGCAAACGGTTCTACAGAAGCTGAATTCACACGAGGGCGACCCAGGAAGGGCTTGCAAACAGAACATGGGTGCCATTCCCCCTCAAGGTGCATAACTGATGGGGTTCATAACTCCAGGTGCGCTGTTGGGAATACCTTTTTGGTTGGTTGCACAGGGAAACCAGGCATGTTTGGGGGCCCAAATCCATCTTTTGAGACAAACCTGGGTTCTACAGCGATCGGAGCCTGTTAGTTGGACTAAGTCCGCAGCACACAGTTGCCGTTGCCCCCGCCTTTAAAGAACACCAACCCAGGTTGGTATTTTGGGATATTCAAATGAGGGACCCCTACATGCCGGACCTCCTTTCGTTTGCAGTTAAAGCCAACAGTCCCAAAATGTTGCAGCAGGTAAACGCTAGTTGAACCACACCAAAATCACAGAGTCCTCACCAAAAATCCTCTGCATGCAACAAACGCATAGGAATACACCCAGAAGCAAGGGATGATAGTCCTTTTGCCACTTTTTCCGGGTTCAGGCACCACCTGTCAACATGGGCACTGTGTGCGTCTTTCTTGATGATGCGTTTGGAGTTGTGGTCAAGGAAAATAAAGGGAAACCATCCATGTGTAAGATGTGGCAGGCAGCGGTCCACAAGCGGGGGGTAAACCTGCGATTTCGCGTCGAAGGGCCTGCTCTGACACTCTAAAGTGATACTTGCATACTTCCATTTGGCTAAGACCCCTGGAAAAAATGGAAGCATAGGTCGGGAAGACATACAAATCACCCATCGCGTTTGGTGTCCTTTTGGGGAACTTGACAAGCATGTGTGCGATTTAGATCACGGGGCAAATTAACATGGAAGCCCCAAAAAAAATATCTTTGTATGGGCAAGTTCTATTTGGGTGACCCTTTTTCAAGGGGTAAGTTGATTTTGGGTTTCTATTCTTGTGATCTGGGTTGGCTTAGCGTCAACACCACCAACACGGCGCGCCCGCAGGAAGGGCGAGAGTAGCAGCTTCCGCGTGGATTTCCAAAGCCTACGGTGAATTGGTCAGGAAATGAAGCTGGGCGGTGCCCCTTCGATCCCCCCCATCATAAGGGGGGTGGGGCCAATTCCATTTATCTAAAAGAAACCATAAAAGGAATTCCAGGAGTCATCGGGGATGATCCCAGATCCCCTGCTAAAAGTCTAACGCATGTTGGGGTTTGGAAACTACCACTAAACCAACTGACTAAAGGCCTACAAACCTGGCTGAGATCCACCAAGGAAAGCATTACCTCGAACCAAAACAACATAAAAAGATCCAGCTAGTGGAGACCTACAGTTGACGGACGAAATCCTGCACCACCTCTTCCAACCGCATTTGGCCACATAGGCTCGCCCGTTTCAATGTGTTGCTGGCATTCACAACAGGTGCCCGAGTTCGGCCAGGGGTAGGCAAGCCTGTCTAAGGACCACAAAGTATTCCAGGCCAGTGAAGTACACAGATGCCCAGTGGCCATGGGAAAAAGGACACCCTTTTTGCTGTTGGTTGATCTTAAAAGGGAACCCTTACCCAAAAAAAGGAAAAAAGGGCACTACTGGGCAACAGAGAGTACCCAAAGAATCCCAGCGCTCTTTGACAAACCCCTAAGATCCAAACTCTTCCGTAGGATCGGTGCAACGCTTCGGGTAGGCCAACACACCAGAACCCGGACGCGCAATGCGTGGGCGGCTTTGGTGAGGCTACCATTGTTCACCTTGGATTTAAGGGACACCACAAGGAAATCCAGGATTTGTGGAGTCCCCTATATTGACTTATACCCATATCACATCTCACTTGTAGCCAACATGTTTTGACGTAGCAGGCTGATTATCGTGCGCAGGCGTTCTGAAACAGTGACCGAGTCTTACGTACTTCATATGCCAACACAAACTGGCAAGCAGCATTCATGACCAGCAATGCTGATGGTCTTGATTTTTCATACGGGACACGTCATCAATCACTGCCAAGCCATCACACCCCGTTTTGTAGCAGATGGCACAATTATCTTTATATATATATATATTGTACTGTGCAGGGGATGAAACCAAAATTCTGTGCCAGTCGCCTAACTGATAGTGGGTTGAACATGCACATCAAACCGTCCAAAACCAGGGGTTGAGTTCCCCTCATGTTTGAAGCACGATTGAACTCTCCATTAGAGGGGTCCACAGGGCAAAAGCGCCCCCACAAAGTGAAACTTGAGGTGCCAGATGCTTACTCTCCCAATCACGGAAGTTGCCATGGCCCCCTGCTAAAAGCTTAACTTTTGGTGGGTGAAGTGGACCCTCCTACTGAACCCTAAAAGCCTAAACAAAAAAACTGAAAAGCTAAGGGGATGGCTGGAACCAGCAAGCTGCCAGGGTTTTGAAAGACCATGTCAGATTTCGAAGGATAGTTGTTGGGTCCAGGAACTAACTCCAGTCACTCACCATATCTCCCATGATGGAAGCTGACAGGAGCGGGTAGGGCTCCTTTCTCTTCGCACTTTGACCATGTGGGCTCGTCACTTTTTAGCGGACACCTTCCAACATGGTGGCTTTTTTTTTGTTTTCCTTCCAAACCGCCAAAAAGAAGGGGGCCAACTCCCAAAAGAGACGAGCCACCCGTGTTTTTCTTGGGGAAGCCCCGTCGTCCACTTTCCTGGGTGGAAGCTGACGAGTATGCATTGAAGTCCCTCAGCTCGCGGCCCCTCACGGCCGAGGACTTCATCAACCGCCTCAGCCAAGGTTCGTCTCAGACACGGTGAAAACTTCACCCACATGACAGCAATGGGTGTGTGTGTGTGTGTGTTTTTGGGAGTTGGTACCGTTTTAAAAGGGAATTGGGCAAGAAAATCGAAGCCCTTGCTAGATCCCTCGCTTCGCAGAATGGAGTCGCTGGGTAGGAAGAGACCTTCATTCATAAGCTTGCTCTACCCCAGGTTATGCTCGTGCTAAAGTGTGCAGACTGGTTTTGTGCGGCCATACTTGCTTTTTTTTTTGCTAGCCAAAGACATCGTGCTTCTCGGTCACCCTTTGGTTCAATCCAACATCTCTCGTCTTCAAGCACTCAGAAGTCCAGTGGCCATGGAACCAAGCCTTGGCACCTTGGCACCCTTTTTGTTGGGGTGGTTTTCACGGAAAACCAATGGGTTTTCTGGGTGAGGTGGAGCTTTCTTTGCGTTTTCTAACAATTCCCTGTGGGTTTCCGTTTGGCTCAACCAAATCTTATGGCTCCAGTTCTCAAACCAAATGTTGGGATCGATTTGAATACGCCCCCACGCCCCCGCCGACTGAGCACCCGGCCAAGGCATGGTCCCAAACAGCGGAGCAGGAACCCACCCGGGCAACCATGAACCTCAGATACCCCGGTGGGAGCGGTCTGTTTCTGGAGTTGGTACTCTTTCATTGGTACCAGAATATGAAACAACCAATAAACATGCTACCAGAGTGTTTTTTGTCTGTTTATCGGTTTGAGACAGAAACCAAAACTATTTGGGGGGGTCAAAAAAAAGACGCGCCAGCCAATATATGGGATCAAGGGCTTTCCTTGCACCATCTGTGTGCCGACCAATGTTCAGCCCATCTCAGCTCCCCGGAAAATCCGAGTTCCCGAAAAGCTCTCTTTAAAAGCAGCGCTCCGATCCCAAGAGAAGTTTACCTGAAACCGGCCAAGGTGATGGTTGCCACCTAGCCAAGGGTCAAAGTAAGTTTGGGGTGCTTGGCGGTTCATAAGCCGGGGTGTTCCCCAAACAGGCTGTGATCATGGGCCGGAATGGCAACCCAGCATACGGAACAAAAATCCCGGGAAAGAACACCTTATATGATGAGATTCAAGAAAACCAAACGCAGGCTTCAGTGGACAAAGTGAGCGCAAAAAAACGCTGATCTGATATTCTGACATGCATCATCCCACGCGCGAACTCTCCAGAAACAACGACGATCCTTAAGGGGATGGTAAATCCCAAGAAAAGACAAATTCCTCAAGGATGACTTCCTTGCGCCGGATGTATATATGAAACTCTTGAGCTACGTAAAGCAGCACGGGAAGAGGTTGGGAAGAGGACGGGAACAGCAGGAAGAGAAGGACAGGGACCTTGTCGCCAATGGCAACACGCAGCAATCCATCTTGACCGCGCTCCAGCACGTTTGCAAGGACTCACCCGGCCCTTTTGGCAGGCCCAGAACTGCGCCCTCCACATCATACCCAATGAAACCCTGCCGCAGAATGTGGCAGAATGACACCCGCCGCAGAACGTGTCGCAGAGGTTCCTCACATCATTGATCTGTGAGGATGTTTTCAGGGCCTTGGATTTCGTCCAGCCACCGCACGACTTGGTATTCAAGGGGTGGGGGGTTCCAATTCCATTCCCCAAATAAGGGAGAATGGAGACACCGGGATGTCAAGTTGTTTTTTTTAATTGGGTACTTGGGTGTGTCTCAAAATGGCTGCTCAAAAAGATGTACCCCAAATGGCCAGGCAAATGGAAAAGACCAAACCCTGCGGTTTGCCCTAGCTCTTAAATTTTGAGCCACACCCATATGGGGTTTTGTCATTTTTGGATCCATGACTCCACACTCAAAATAGGGGACTCCAAAAAGTGGTGGTTCCCTTCCCTTTGGAAGTTGGGGAAAAAGGGTGTGTCTCAAAGGGTGCTCCAAAAGGTGGGTCCCTTCACGGTGGTGACGATTGAGGCCGCAGCTGCCTGAAACTCGCCAGGACCTGAGGCGATCGCTGGGTCTCGGACCGATCGGACCTGGACATTCGGAGAAAGGTGGCCCTTTGCGGAACAAAAATGCACATGTGTGGACTATACAAGTATCTGTTACTTGTATAAAATATTGGCTCGCAAGTGTTAGATGTATGTATGTATGTATGTATGTATGTATGTATGTATGTATGTATGTATGTATGTATGTATGCATGTATGTATGTATGTATGTATGTATGTATGTATGTATGTATAGACAAGTGAGTGGAGGTTCGTCAAGACTTCCTTTCGATCCGTCTTCACTACCTTATACTGAGTCATGTCTTTGAGACAATGGAACGCTATCAGCACGTCTTGCACGCGGATTTGGCCATTGTGGCCTCTATTGCTACCAAGACATATTATGATTCTGCTCTTTGACACTGGCAGAACGAACCTGCGCCCAGAAAAAGAGGTTTGAAGAGTGTCCGATTCAGATTCAGCATCGCCCGCGTGTAAACAGTCAGCAGCTCGGAAGATGGTTTGGTGGTTGCCTGTCTTCCAGGGTATCTCATGGGGGCTGGGGGGGAGGGAGGGGGGGGGGAAGCCCTAAATAAGGCCTTATTAAGGGCTTATTTGGGCTCCCTCCCCCTCCCCCTCCCTGCCCCCCAGCCCCCATGAGTATCTGCTAAAGAAGTCATCCCCAAAAGCCCCAGTAAGTCTTGGAACTCTGGAAGCCTTCGGTATACACCCAATATATATATATGTATACATATCTATATCTATATATATACATATATATATATATAATGTATACGAATAAAACATAATTTATGTAAACACATGTAAGGCAATATGAGAGTCCTTCTTCTGGATGGCGCGTTGTCTTCCTATATTTCTGCAAGCAACGCTGGGATCTCTTCGGGTTCGGACAGCTGCCCGTGATCCATGTGTGGAAGAAACGACCCACTGGACACTCTTCAATCACGCCATCGAAATCGAACCTGCGTCAATTTGCGGGCGGAGGGCGCAATAGTGGGGAGATCTCTTCGGCTGACGGGGGCTGACTTCTGTCCAATTCAGGCCCCTTTCAGGGTAACTCCAAAGGCCCTAGGGAACATGTGTCTACAACTACAGAAAACAACCGCTGCTCTACCCAAACGGGATCTGATCGTCTTCGGCCCAGATTTGTCCTGTTCAACTTGGCACATTGACATGGAACCCAGCACACAACCACATCTTAAAGAAGCCCCTTCTGGGAGACTCCTTTTTGCGTTCCATTTGAGTGCTAGGCAGCAGGTGAAAAATGCCCAACCCCGAAACGGCCCTTTTTGCACGGCGAAAAGCAAATCCTGATCACGATTATATAGACGGAAGCACAGAATCGAGTTCCTGAAGCATAGCGGTTTCAATATCGTGGTCCAATCTGGGGCACATAGCAAACATGTTTTCTGATCCGGTCATGGAGTTTTGGAGCAAACCCACGCGTTCCCACAGACCATGGTGTGCGGCACTTTAGGGCTACATGTTCGCCTGAGGTGAAACCCCCTTATCTTCACTGTCCGCTTACGGACATTGTGTGAGGACTCCTTAGAAAGGCGAAGGTACGTCTGGAGCACGTCTGGGTCGAACAGGACGGTGTACTTCAAAACCAAAGTAAAGCAAACATACGTGCTTGTTGGCTCCTTATCCTGTGGATGGACGAAATCCTGCACCACCAGGAAACCATGGTTGAAACCATTGCTTCTTGATATTTGCAGGGGGAATCGAATCAGAAACCAGGCTATTCGACAATATTAACGCTGCTTTTGCCATATAGTGGGACATCTCATGTGTTTTTGTGGTGTATTCCAATGGTCATCCTACGAAAAGGACCTTTTGCAAGTACCCTCCAACTAACATAGAAGTGCAAAAATGCCCTTTCCAAGACGAGAGTAGTCTTACAGGGGTCTGTGCACAAACGCATGGAATCGCTGGGAGGCTAGGGGGAGCAACCAAAATGGTCGGGTTCCCTATCAGCATCATCCCTTAAAACCCACGTCTCACCGGCGGAGGGCTCCTTTCGCCGCCAAAGCCCCGCGCTTCTCGTGGACACCCGGGGCCGGCCGGGTTTCCGGGCCGTGCAATGCTGCGGCGCCAGGTCCTCCAGGCCGATGCTGCCGGCGCTGTCCTGAGAAAAAAGTGCACGGGATGTTTTTTTCTCAAAAACACCTCATGGGCGGATGTCTCAAATCCCCACTGGAACTTCGTGGGAGGGGGGTCTGGGGGGGTGGGTCCCCAATTCCATTTATCTAAAAAGGGAAATGGAACCATACATGGAATTCCAGGAGACACCCTCCCCCAATTCCATACTTAAGGGGTGGGGATCTCAAAGGGAACCCCCAAAACTCACTTGCGTGGATTGACCAAAGAAAGTCGCCAAACTCTTGGCTTACCACAAAAAAACACTCAAGTTACTAAACTTTTGGTGTGGCACTAAACCTGTTTAATTTTTGAAAGTGGCGAAAGTCCAGAAACTCAGGCAGTGAGCGAAACAAGCCCAGACTGTATCCAGACCCAACAGCCCCAGAACCCTTTGGAACCCTTCCGGAACCCAGCCTGAAAGATCCCCAAACCACCTGAGCTTATTTGGGGAGACCCTACAAAGCTTTCAGCTCTTCGGAGAAAAAAAAAAAAACTAACCTTCTCCCTCCTGTCCACTAACACCATGAAACCTGACGTTTCGGGGTCTTGGTTCGGACAACTTTCGTTTATAAGAGGGATCCTCTGGTCGGTTCCATTGCACGTGGGCAGGAGGGTACCACTTCAAAGACCAAAAAGTGAACCAAGTCAAAGAGCGCGGGATATGTATATACATGCTCTGTCTATAGTAGCATGGAAGTTTATGCTCTAATCGGTCCCATGTTTAGGTCCCTTTACATGGATCCTGGGTCTGTGGGGAAGAAGCGTATTCGGGGGGGCTCAAATACCCATGGCCTCGCGATGGACAACCCTTCCGGGGATTGGGATCTCACCTCTGCCACAAGTGCGATTGTTTGATACTTGGTGGGAACACGGTATTGGATGTTGCACAGCACTATCTCAGCTTGCGCCACCCCATGAAAATGGTGGTTTCATTCTGGTCCATGTAGTGAAGGATCAATTTGTAAAACACTCTAAGCAACATCCCAGAAAAGCGAAATGCGAGTCGAACCGAGCCACGTGCTTTCGTTTCAGAGAGGCGTCAAGGTGCCACCAATCCCCAGACCTTCAGGTAGCACCAGTAGCTTGTCCCATTTATACCGTTTCATCCATCCAAAGTGCGGGATTGTGTCCATCCACAGATGCTAAACTGAGGTAGTTCGGCTAGCTTGCCACAACCCCATCCCAACTGTCTTTCAAGGAAAGACAGGGCACTCTTGTTCCCTGCAGATGGCGGTTACACGTCCCAGCCGCGCATCGGTTCACCCCCTCCAAAGAAACAAGGGACAGTAAACCGCCGAAAAGGGAGGACTGGGTTGTAGTCTCACTTCCGATCGAGTGGATTGGCCAACACAAAGAATACACTTGTTGTTTGCCCAATGAGTGATCGAAGTCGGGGAACTCATTGAGCTTTAACAAAAAACCACATGCTTTGGAAAACCCAACCCACTTGCTTTTTCTTGTTTCACATAAATATATGTGTATATATATATATATATGTATATAAATATACATATAGATATATGTATATATATATATGTATATGTATATGTATAATATATATATATATGTATAAACTATATATGTATACTATATGTATATATATATATGTATGTATTCATATTTGTGTATACAAACCGGCAGAAGGTAATACAACCCACGGAGTCCTTGTCCAAGGCCCGCCACAGCGCACCTTGGTCCACACCTCGGATCACCAAAGGCGTGGAGGCCGAAAGGAAGGGCTCCAACACTGGGCTGTCCCTCAGAAAGAACTTTTCCGTTCCTTTGCAAAGACACCTCCAAACATGGACTGCTTTATTCTTTCTCAAGGGGGTGTGTTGGGGGGGCAGAAGATGTTTGAGGGGCTTTTCTTGGGAGGGAATCCCATAAAGTGGACCAAATCCAGCTGGAATGGAAGAAGACCTAAAAGCAATGGGTGACAAACCAAACTGGTGCGAAATGGATCTCGTCCATCCACAGTGTGGACCCTTTGAGGATGGCGTTCAAAGACTTGAAGAAAGAAGGTACTTGGACCCGAGGGGCTCAACACCACACAACCAGGGCTCATGACCAAAAAAAGAAAAAAGAAAAAGGATTTGTCAACTTGTTTAAAAGACTTGGTGTTGGCTTAAGGACTTGCGTGAGTGAGGTGTTTTTGGAAGGAATAAGTGTTCCTACCTTTTTTTCCAGAGAAAGAATTGCAATAAGTGTTTCCCAGCTACCCGGCGTCCCAACTTGCAGAAAAAAACGTGAAAAACACTTGTCACCCTTTTGCGAGCGAAAAAGGGGAAAAGCCATGAGAATCCAGGGGATAGAATGAATTGACTGACACAGAGCCGAAGGCACTCCATCGAACCAAACACCTCCACCAGCGACAGCATGCAGAAAGCGTCCGCTGAACACGTTTTCGCTCGACGACCGGAAGTGAGTGTGCATCTTCGCAGTCAAAACGGCAATCGCATCTGGCTCAGCTGCAAACGGCACATTGTTCATTCATTTGCTAGTAGGTGTCACTGCCTTCATGCGGGTTTGTTTGTTACTTTGTCACGCTCAACTGCTCAACTCTGCTCGCAACTGCGCCAGAAAGCCAATGCCACATGTACCAAAAGCAAAATCCAGACCCCTAAGGGATTCCGAAATGCTCCGAAGCAAGCCTAAGTGGCTTGCAAACCCATGGGACGGGCACCGGCCAGCAGTGCTCACGCACGGCACTCACTGTCACTTATGCCCGCTTCTTCTTTGCGCCCTGATCGGTGCGGCGCGGCAGACAAAGCATCAAACAATGCCACCCACAAACGCTTGAGATGACATGGCACTAAAAGGTAAAGTGTGTTTTTGTTGGCTTTTCTTCGTTTTAGCATGGATTGGCCGATGGGAAAAAAAACAATTCAACACAACAGAGCCCCGAAGCCTTGCCCTGGTTTGCGTTCTGCTCCTCCTCACTGCCTCGTTTCTTTGCGCTGAACAAGGCTGTCAAGTCGGATTGCTTGGCGCCGGATGCAGAATCTTGATCTGCCTTTGACTTTCTAGCTTTTTTTTGGGCTGCGTCTTGTCCTCCCCTTGCTTGGCTTTGACGGCTGCCAAACTTGCCTGCTTGTCTTCTGCCTGCTTTGCTTCTGCCTTTTTGGCTCCTGCGCTGTTGCCGGCTGCCTGCTGGGTTTCTGCCTCCTTGGCTTCACCTTCTGCCTCCTTGGCTTCTCCTTTCTCCTGCTTGGCTCCGCTGGCTGCCTCCTTGGCTTCAGCTTCTGCCTCCTTGGCTTCAGCTGCCTGCTTGGCTCCTGCGCTGTTGCCGGCTGCCTGCTTGGTTTCTGGCTTTGCCTCACCTTCTGCCTCCTTGGCTTCAGCTTCTGCCTCCTTGGCTTCAGCTTCTGCCTCCTTGGCTTCAGCTTCTGGCTGCTTGGCTCCTGCGTTGTTGCCGGCTGCCTGCTGGGTTTCTGCCTGCTTTGCTTCACCTTCTGCCTCCTTGGCTTCTGCTTCCTCCTGCCTTGCTTCACCTGCTGCCTCCTTGGCTTCTCCTTTCTCCTGCTTGGCTCCGCTGGCTGCCTCCTTGGCTTCAGCTTCTGCCTCCTTGGCTTCAGCTTCTGCCTGCTTGGCTCCTGCGTTGTTGCCGGCTGCCTGCTGGGTTTCTGCCTCCTTGGCTTCTGCCTGGTTGGCTGCCTCGTTGCCGGCTGCCTGCTTGGTTTCTGGCTTTGCCTCACCTTCTGCCTCCTTAGCTTCAGCTTCTGCCTCCTTGGCTTCAGCTTCTGCCTGCTTGGCTCCTGCGTTGTTGCCGGCTGCCTGCTGGGTTTCTGCCTCCTTGGCTTCACCTTCTGCCTCCTTGGCTTCAGCTTCTGCCTCCTTGGCTCCGCTGGCTGCCTCCTTGGCTTCAGCTTCTGCCTCCTTGGCTTCTGCTTCCTCCTGCTTTGCTTCACCGGCTGCCTCCTTGGCTTCAGCTTCTGCCTCCTTGGCTCCGCTGGCTGCCTCCTTGGCTTCAGCTTCTGCCTTTGCCTCCTTGGCTTCAGCTTCTGCGTGGTTGGCTGCTGCCTCGCTGCAAGCTGCCTGGGTGGCTTCCGCCTGCGTGGCTTCTGCCTGGTTGGCTGCCTTGTTGCCGGTTGCGAGCGAAGCTTCTACCTGCTTTGTTTCCCCTTCAAAGAAACTACCCATATTATCATTCAAAGGTGGGACAATATTGATGACACCTGTTTCTCAAAAAGGAGCTTTCGATTTCGATGAAAGAAGCTGGATTTCCAACAAGTGTCTCACGAATTTTAATTGGTTCCAACATCAGTTCGCATCTGTCGTTTGAAAGATATTTTCATCAATGAGGCGGCGGTGCAGGGAGCCCTGGCAACTAAGTTGCTTTTCCGTATCGGAAATGTATCTGTGGCCCCTGGCTGACGGCTTGCAGTTCGCCAAGAGTCAATCAAATGCAATCCAAGCCGGCAGCCATCCAGCAAATCTGCAAATGACACAAAGGCAAGTCTAAGATGGTGACGGGGAAATCAAATCACAAAATAAAACACGGTCATGTCATAGTGTCGTGGGGGGGGGGGCCTGAGAAAAGCTTCAGAACTTGTCACACCATCTTGTTTGCACGGACGGAAAAGCACCACCACCAACACTGCTTGAGCTTGTTGTCAGTCACGCCTTCCCGTCTTCCACCGCGTCGAACGCTTCGTTGAGCTCCCGTTCGATCTCATCGAAGTCTTCGCCCGACCCGCAGGCTTCGTCGCCGTCAGCAGGCCCAAGTCGAACCTCCGGGGTCGGCACGACTGCCAAGGCGTACTGCAACAACGGCTTCGCCACCACCTTGCAGGAGAAAGCATCCATAGAACATTTCAACCCCCGCAGCAAGCATGATAAAACGGAACTGGCGCAAAAACTGAAAACGGCAGTCCACCAGATTGGAGCGCGCCTGCTCAGCCACAAGCTTGCGAAAAGCCACCACCGCCTGCTCGGGGAAGACCGTCGTCTGAATCCTAGCAGGGCCATTCTGTCAATGCCTAACGCCTCTCACCCTCCAAACATAGCATCTGGTGGTTGTGAGCTGAAGGTGACATTGAGCTCAGAAATGCATGCAATGTGAGAGATGCCCTTACGACTTCGGGAGCTTAGTGAAAAAGGATGGCAGCAAGCAAATGCAAATGATTCAATCGGGGATTAATTCACGGGAGTCCCATCAACTTGCAATGAAGGAGTTCCTGAGCCCGACGTGGTCACCGTTGATCGCCTTGGTGACGACCACGGCGCTCATCGGCAACGCCAGGCAATCTCCAGTTTTGAGATAGCCGGCCGACAGAGACGGCAGTGACATTGCGTCTGGCACTGCGTGAAGCTCCATCTCACTCAAGTGTCCCCGGATCTCCGGGATGGAGTTCGTTCTGAAGAACCCGGAGCACTCCGCGAGGTCGGCTGCGACCACGAGCAGCCCACCAAACACCTTAATCACATTCAATCACAACAACAAATCCAAGGATTCAGCAAAACTGGCACAATCCCCCCATCAACCGAGATTGCAGTGAATGCGCCTGCCCGTGGAGTGCAAAGAAGTGGAGCTGTTGAGATTGAATTTCCACTGACCGAAAAGAGCTGTAGCATCATCACAAGCCTGCCACTGCCAACAAAAAAACAAAGGTGCTGAGCGAACGCAACTGAGCGGCCACCAGGCGGAGCGACCCAACTCCAGATGCCTCCAGTCCGGAATGCACAGCGCCATTCTTGGAGCCGACGATCCAGACCGAGTTGAACTCGGAGGACCCGACGGAATCGACCGGCTCGCCGCTGGCAGCCTGGATGTCCGCGTGATCCCGGCTGCACTCAAGCCACGACGCAGGCAACATCGCATTCAACCTCTCCCGGGTGTAGAGGGTAGCGTCTGCGTTGCTGATGCGGGCCCTCAGTGGGACCCAGCGGTGCAGTGGGTGAGGAGTCAGCAAAAAAAGGACACCTTAACTATCTGGCCCGCCAACTCTCCAGCCCCGCACAAACCCAAAATGACAAGCAATTGAGCGCTCAATGGATGAGTGGGCCATCAAAGAAAACACGCAACCTGACTTTGCCTGGCAAGTCTCAAACGCTATCACACGCGAACCCAAAAAGAAACAACAATACTGGAAGGCAGCCAACGAAACGCGCTGCGGCCTTCACTCTTGTTCGCGAGGTTGTCACGGAACTGGTTGAGCGAGCTCTCCATGTCATCTTTGTAATCCTTCGTCACCTGCATGAAAGTGTTCCGGCCCTTCCTGATGATGACAGCTTGCGTCAAGCTTATGCCAGTGCCGTCACTGGAAGCCTTCGTCAGAACCTGCATGGGGCGAAGCGCTGCCAAGCCTTTGAAGCACTTCAGGATGGCCGGGTCGTTGGGCGCCAAGCATTTCGCGAAATTGGTTCGCCCAGACCTTGAAGCAAAACACACATGCGCGGACACGACAAACTGTCAAAAGGACAAATCTGGCCACAGCACAAAAGTAGGAGGCGACGTGACAGCTGTCCAGCTCACTGCTGACAAGTAGCAAGGTGCCGCTGGTAGCCGCGCTGCTCTCCAGCTCTTTGCGTTTGGCTTCAAAGGTCGCACGGGCCTTCGTCAAAGCCTGGCGGGAAGCGGTGCGTGGTTCAGAAGTTCCCCTGCCCTAACACCAAACATTCAAGGGGCACATTGATTTGACCTACCCCTAAGAACCCTTAGGGGTACCTTGAGTACCTTGCCTTGCAACCCAGTCAATGCCCCTTATTTCTCCCTTTCGAGGCACTATTTGAATGGTTTCCACATCGCAAATCAAGGAAAATCGGAGATCGCTGAGTCACAGGAAGCGCGAAACCAAAGAAATCCAAAGGCGCCTTGGTCATGTTGTCTATGTCTTTCATGGCTCTTCTCAACGACTGCGCCACTACCTTTGCGCTGGAAGCTCGCCCCATCAGATCCTCACCGGGGGAGGACAGTTGGCTGCTATTCGGTCATCCAGCTGAGTTTCAAACACCTCAAATAAACATGCACACAGTGTTTGTATTCAAGCGCACGCCCTCCCTCATGCGCACGCACGGAAACAAGCTCCCATCCTTCATGCGCTCATCTACTTGATCTTTCACCATGCAATCATCGAAGTGATCTGTCCGCCTTAACCAATAAAGAAGACAAAGTGGGAATGTGTGAAAGGGAGACAAACATTTTTTCAAGGATTCACAATAAACCGTTGGGCAAAATTGTGAACAAGCTCAAAAGCATGCCAAACAAACGGAGACTCTGCAAGAACGCGATCGAAGCTGCGGAAGATGCATGTTCCTGCAGGTAGCCGTCGGCCTTGCAAATCTCCTTGTACCTCTCAGCAACCACCTCTTCGAGGTTGCCATCCTTGGGGCGTTGATGGAATCACTCCGAGGGGTGAGGGGTGGCCAACGTGAGTCTCAAATACTGAGCACTGGCAGGGGCCCTTCTTTGATAAATCTTTGCCCCGTTGCACCCCTTTGTGTGCTGCATAACCGGGGCATCATTTGAGCGAGTGTGTGGCTGCCTCATGTTTGAGAGCGCTTGCAAACAACGCAATGCCATACAGCTTGACCGAATGAAATCCGCTGAGCACTTGTACTGCCAAGGACGGCCAAGGATCTGTCGCTTGGAGCGCTTGAACTGCCAACAGTCGCCGCTGAAAGGAGTACAGGCACTTCACTGTGCCCGCCGTGTCATCGAGACCGAGCGTAGCGTCAGTCAAGATTCTCGACTCATCCACCCCCTTGGCCTGCAGCGCCGTGAACGTCTCATAGAGATCCTGCGCGGCAGTGGCAACAGGTTGTTATTCCTCACCACACAGAAGAAACACAATGGCCGGGCTAGTCTAACCTTCTTGAAGAGCCCAAAACACGTTTGATTTGGAGGGGTGTTGATAAGACAATTCAAACTGTTGTATCAATGTAGTAGGACGTGGCGTGCTCAGGTCCAGCTTCGTAAGAAAACCACGCTTGCAACCATGTTCAAAAACTACGCTCCAACCACGTGCAATCCTGGTGAGATGCGATGAAGGCGTGCGCCTTTCCCACAACGTCACCGTGGGCCGCCAGCACAAACTTGATCTGGGAGACCAACTTGGACAGCGCCTGCGTTCGGCAAAAGCTGATGTCCACCGCCTTGCCCTCTTTGGCGGGCTTCTTCGCCTTTGGCCTTCGATGAGGCACGGTGTCAGGTATAGAGTCACTCAACAGTGGTGCAACAAATCTATCGTGACGCATGACAACACAAAGAAGGGATCAAAAAGCAAATGGGGGGTTCGACTCCTACCTGCGTGGAGGCTTCACTGTCTACCAAGCCGAATACTGCAGCGGAATGCGTCAGGCAACCCCAGACCGTGCAAAATACAACGAGAATCTAAAGGAGCGGTTGAAATTGCACCCTGAAGCACTCATGGGGCTGCACGCACGTCTTGGGCTTGCGACACAAGCAAATCATCTTCGACTTCACCAAGGTCCAGGTAGTTATCCCCGCACAAGGGCTGAGGGCGCATGAGCAGCAGCGTTCTTTTATGTTCGAAATTGGGCGGTTAAAAGAACACCAGGTTGGACCGGACCAGGTTTGGGATTCGAACTTCGCAGCGCCAGCAGCAACACCAAATCGAAGTGATCGGGAAATACTAATACTACAAGCCGAGGCTCTTCTTGTTGCGCCCCTTGCTTGCAGCGCTCTCAGCAGCACCACTGACCACAAACTGCGACTCATCTGGGTTGAAGCCAGCCACCCAAGACTTAAAGAAGTCGTCCTCGTCGGCACCTGCATGTAGGGGCAAGGATCCAAAAGCTGGAGTGGCATAATATAATCAGACATGTGTTTGGTCAGAAGTTATGACACCACCGACGGGCCTCCAAAGGTGACAAAGTTTCCCACCCGTTGAAAAGCAGCTGCCGCGGCTTGGTCGGAGCCGCTGTTGACTTGGTGTGCCCTCACAGCACTCCGAGCTTCCTCCTCCTGCTTGCCTTTCCACCGCACTTGCCCGCCCAGGGTGACCCAAACGTGGTCTCTCCATTCCCACTGGCCACTTTTGCGCACGTAGACCTCACAGGAGTCTCAAAGAATTAGGGCTGGTAATGAGTGTGTGGGAATTGATGCGGCAAAAAGG